ATATATATATATATATTCATATGTATATAAATATTCATATATCCCACGAATATATGCATTTGAAAGAGGGTATTTGTAAATGAGTATTTACCTTTCATGCAAACTAGGAATGTGGTGGAACACACAGCAGGCAAAATGATGAAAAAGTTCTAGATACTATCAAACATCTTAAAGCAATGAGTTGCTGGGCCTGGGAGCTCAGGACCATAGTCTCAGGTGACACCATGGTCAATTGGCACAACATAGTCCACAAAGACAATGTTCTATATCCTGCTTGGGTGAGTAGTGTCTGGGATCTTGAAAGATCATTTGACACTGTCTAATGTGCAGCTCCTGATCTCTCCATGTGCAGAAGAAAGAAGAGGGATAAGAGACTTGCAATCATTAGTCCAGTGGACTAATGGAACATGTAAACATCAGTCTCCATTACTCTGAGACCAGAAGAACTAAATGGTGCCCAGCTACCACTACCAACTTCCCTGGAAGGAATCACATTAGAGGATCCTGGATAGGATGGGGAAAAATGTGGAATATCAAAATTATCTAATTTAAAAAACAACAAAGGTTTACTGGTTAGAAAGAGACTGGAAGACCTGAAACTATGACCCTTGCTTTGAGGTTCCTTCAGGTCTGGAAAGGCACTCAACCTCGTGGCTCAATTTTTAGCAAAACAGTAGATAGGTTTATAGTGGGGGACAACAAAATTAGCTAAGTATGTTGTTGTTGTTGTTAAGTGCCATTGAGTCAGTTCCAACCCATAGCAACCCTGTATAGGGTTTCCAAGGAGCAGCTGGTGAGCTTGAACCATCAACCTTGCAGTTCAAACGACTTTGCAGTCTGACTCATTAGCCCACAGTGCCACATCAGGACTAGCAAAGTATATTGTTGTTGTTGTTGTTAAGTGCCGTTGAGTTGATTCCGACCCATAGCGACCCTGTATAGGGTTTACAAAGAAGCCGCTGGTGAGCTTGAACCACTGACCGTGCAGTTCAAACAACTTTTCAGTCTGACTCACCATAAAATGATCATTCAAAATCAAAAGGGCAACATTTTTCTGAGGTCAAAGTTGAGAAGGGATAGGAACGTGGATGGAATGCAAATAGGAAACACAGTGAGGAAACAGCATAACTTGTTGTGTGGAGGGGATTGTAAATATGGAGATGAAACAAAATTATGATTTATTGAATGTAAAGCTGATCATCTTGTCTGTAAACTTTTAATCAATTCACAATAAAAACTTAAAAATAGAAAATATCAAGAGTCCTCCTGACACAGTAAATTAAGTGTTAAATTGTGCTAACTGCAAGGTTGGCAGTTCAAACTCACCAGTCGCTCCTCAGGAAAACGATGAGGTTTTCTGCTCCCATATAGATTTACAGTTTCAAAAACCCTTTGGAGTGGTTCTGCTCTGCCCTGTAAGATCATGAGTCAGATGAACTAAAAGGCAGTGGTTTATAGTCAGTATGGACCCAAAAAATATCATGATAAATGGAGAAAAAAATTCAAGTTCTCAATTATTTCATTCAACTTGGATCAACAATTATTGTCTATGGAAGCAGTAGTCAAGAAATCAAATGATTGACTTCCTGCAAGATGAGGCAGACACAGTACGTGGACCATAGACAACAAAGATACAAAAGACCAAGTAAAACGGACACAGATGAAAATTCTGGCACCCTAAACTTCAGGAAAAAAGTTAGAGAGGTGTATGGAATGCTTTCTGTGAGGAGAGGCCAAGCAGGGACAGCGAGAGAGGGAGACTGACTGGTGAACAGCTGACCAGATGCAACTCCACCATCTTGTGAGCAGCTTTGGCAGAGGAGAGGGGGACCTGGCAGAGCAGATTCTCACTGGCGAGGGGAAAGGTGCAATTTCTTCTCCCTCCCCCACCACTCCCCTGGTGATCAGCTCCCACCCACCTTCATCCACCCCCAGCCCAGACCCTGCTCTCAGGGAGTTCAGAGCCACGTTATTGAGAGACACACCAGTGTGAGTTGGAGGTCGGCTTCACCACTTTGGT